TAAACATTTCATCTATTACGTATTTTTTATTCACGTCTTTGTTTTTTTTTATTAGATCGTAAAGTTGTGGTTTACGCATGTCCTTTTCATATGGTATACCCTTTTCTAATAACCACGATTCCATTTTTGCCTTCTTGTCATTAGATGTAGGGGCAGGATCCATTAATTTGTTGTGGTACGGAGCATTATCGATAACCACCACCGAGTTAGGGCTCAAATTTGGAATCAGTTGGGTCCGTAACCATTTCTCATAATTTTTGAAATTCATGTCATCATGATAGTCTCCGGTTTTGCTGCCAGATTTGAACATTAGTAGCGCGTTCGGAACAAACCCTGCTTCTGACCCAGCGTGTACCATCACTATCCGCTGACCTTTTGATATCGGGCGCTTTAGTCCTTGAGCGGAACCATCTGACCACGCCTTACCTTTTGTATGTAATGAGTGGGCATACGACTCGTCAGTGAATACAATTGGTCGCCCTTCGTCCCTGTATTTTTTCATTGCCTTCAAGTACAAGATCCTTTTCAGGCGAATGTCGGTCTTCTCTATAAGAACCATTCTATTGGTTTCGGTCTTTCGCCACTTGAAACCCAAGTTTTTGATAATTGTCTTTAAGCTCGTTTTACCACCTTGAAAATTTATATCCCGTTTGAGTTTCGCTAGTAATTTGTTTATTGTCGGCATTTCTTTTTCAGTTTTGTGGAAGTTGTGTATGCATCTTTTTACTACTCCCTGGTCAAAATTATCCATATCAGTAATAGGTTTTGATCTAGACCTTTTTTTACCAGGCGTGCGGAATACTGAAAGTAAGCCCGAAATATTGCCTTCAGTTGCGATCCGCTGTACTGTGCGTTGGGACACACCAGTTGCGTTAGCAACTCTTAAATAAACTTTATCGACATCTTTTACGCCTTCTTCTTTTTCTTTTTTCATATATTGCGTTAAATCGTAAATAATTTTTCTCGCCTGGCGGTTTAACACACTGTTATGTTTTGGTGGCATGTTTGGCGAATAATATAAGTGCTAACTGACACTTGCAAATAAAACAAATAAAACAAATAAAACAAACAAAACAAACTTAACACTATTAATAAAAACAAACAACAATAACAACGAAAACTTTTGTAACCGACTGTGCTCAAGACAGAGATAGCGACACGAACACGACACCAATGCTAACGTGTGACTGAGAAATATTACCGTGTACCGAGCATTGCCGAATAAGCACGAAGCTTTACGAAGTAACCAGAAAGGGATGTCCAACACGCGTGCCTGAGGGTGTTGTTTAATCGATTTTTATTCAAATCGATTAAAATTAAGACATAAAAATATATTTATTTGCAATTTATAAGGAGGTTCTAAATTTTCTCAAATAGTCGTTACTCAAGAAGACGTTAATAGATAATTGATATTTAAGTACATTATGTCTTTCAGCTGAGAAAATAATATGTTTTTAGTTTTTTTTTATTTAAGTCGAAATCTTGTTTATTATCAACAAAATTCACTATATTTGTAAATCTATTTCGTTTAATATCTTATATAAACAAAAATCAATAACTTCTAAATAAAACTAATCGATTGCGATATTTTATGACTAAAGGGTCGATTGTGTTTACTTATGGTCAATCTCTAGCCTAGACCACCGCCCCCCGTACGTCGCCTCATGCCACCATTTTGTTCCTTAAAAAAGCTATTGCGCAACCTTCTGCGCGAAGGTCGGACTCGCCAAGATACGTCGGCCGTATTGTAATTTACAATGTTGCATTGCATGTTTCAATGTTAGTTAAAAAAATACGTGAATAGCGTTCCCAAAATGCAAGGAAAGGTATTACGGATATGGATTAGGCATGTCGATTTAAAATCGATTAATCGATTCTTTGAAGTAAAATTATCGATTTTTAGATCGATTTAAAGCACCGCATCGATTCACTGAATCCATACAAAAACCTCTTGAATCGGACTAATTCACTTGATACAAGAACTAGCTAAAATTCTCAAACTGGGTCGGGTAAGATACCACAGTTTTTTAATTTTTTGCTGTTGGGGGACGCAAAACAACCGATCGTACATGGTTAATAATTTGAACGCAATAAAATTTATGAACGCATCCAACAATATCGAAAAGTTGTTATTTCATTTTCATTTCTAAAATTCTTAAGCCCACTTTCCACTAAGTGATATATTGTAATTTATATTGTTACGCGCTCCAGTCAACGATACACTAGCGCCATCTAGTGTCAGGAACGAGAGCGAGGGGAGCATTGAGAAAATGACATCACAAATTACTCAACCGACAGCGCCTAGTCGAACCTCGAACGCTCGGTACCTTGCCCGTGTTTACTTGAACATTCTGGATATTTCTTTGCTAATTTAAATATATAGGCGCTGCAAGACGCGATGGGGGCAGTGTTGATTTGGGCGAAACAAGCGAAGCTTCGGAGTGGAATTAAGTGAATTAGTGTGTTTAAATTATTAGTGTTTTAACTTTAATTGTGTAAAGTAAATTAAAGTGTTAATTTAGGTAATTTTATCGGCAATTTTTATTGTCACGAACCTCAAGCTCGTAACAATATTACATCTCGAGATATAAATTAATAGCGCTCACCGTACTTTTAAATGGAACCGTTTCCACTGAGATGTAATATAATATATTACATCCCAAACTATAAATATTTTTTCTATCGACCAAGTGATATTTTCATATTATATTTCACCTCCTGTACTATAATATAATATGATATTATAGCTGTGAACCTGTGTGAACTGTGAACTTGTGAATTTACATTATTTATTATCAAAAATATACATACTGTGAGCTGTAAGTACAGACAGAGTACTTTTTAAATACCTAGATACTGTAAATAAATATTATACCGTACGTTGAAGCTTAAAGAGGTTTATAGTAAGGAAATAACCAGTATTGTGTTCGTGTAGCATTCATTTCGATAAATAGTGAGTTATTAGATTGAAACAGATTTATCGAGAAATGTACGTTGCAGTTTGCACTTCTGTTAAAGTATTGTTGTTGTTTTTAGCCTTAAATGTCAAATAAAAGTGTTACGTGGAATCACTTTGTAAAAAAAAGGGATCGAGTGGAGTAGTGCGAACCACTCCTAACACATGCGTTTCAAGCTTACCAAGATGGTTAAAAGGAATATTAGTAATGTTAATCAATAAGATTAGTAATATTTTATTTAAAAAAAAAATTAAAAAAGCAGTTTAGAAGTTAAATAAAAAAATTTTGAAAATTCTTGAAATTTCATGTTAAAAATGTCGCGATTAATCGAAAATCGATTTTTTAATCCTCGATTTAATCGATAATCGATTCAAGTATCTTCGATTCAAATCGATTCAGAGATCGCTTTTTTTTTAGAGAGAATCGACATGCCTAATTATGGATATGGTGCTGATGACTATACTTATGTGACTTTTTATGTGTTATTTTGTACTCTCTGAAATAATTCATATATCAATAGGAACATTCGGGATAAATTTATTAAGAGAGGGTTAAAAAGCATCATTTTATATAATTATGATCAATAAGGTGTAAAGGGATAATAACTTTTTCAATGTTACTTGAACACTCACTGTCACCATCACTTTCGTCACTGTCCATGGAGGTTAAAATGCCAACCCACAATAAAAAGCGATTACTTACTTCATTTATTATTTTATTTTTCATATTCAATTTTTATACCATCTGAGCACTCTTTTTTTCCAAATCTCTTCGCTTATTGAGCTCAACGTTTCTTTTATAAGAGATTCCACTTATCACAATTTTTTAAGTTTCTTCTTTTTTCACCAAAGCAAATTATAATATATAATTAGTCAAATACAGTCCACTTAGCTCCCCATCAACTACAATACATATCAATGATAATCGTTAATAGCAGTGTTCCATTTCAGGCTTACTTCACGTATTCGACAAGTAATTTGTTTAACGTAGCAATTTTTTTTCGTACAGCGTAAAATGACATAATTTTTTGTTGTGTTGCACCAGCACCAGTATTATCGATTTTGATCTTTGTATCGCGATTTATGGTTCATAAAAGATAGCTTGATCTCTGCGACAGCTGTCAGTAAAAATCACGCCTATGAAGTCCTGAATTTCTTAGTAGTACAGACAGTACCTGTCAATGTCATACTTTATGGGCATGCCGACCTAAATTAGGTCGGCATGCCCATAAAGTATGACATTGACAGGTACTGTCTGTACTACTAAGAAATTCAGGACTTCATAGGCGTGATTTTTACTGACAGCTGTCGCAGAGATCAAGCTATCTTTTATGAACTATAAACGTTTTTTTTTCAGGTGTTACTTTTGATGGACCAGGCCCACCCATATTTGAAACAGAACTGATCTCTCTTTCTTGTCTCAAAATTCGGGTTACAGTAAATTCGGATACATCTGTAGTCATTAAACAAATGCAATTTTATTTTCTTAGGTAGTTAATAACATTAAAATATTTTAGTAACGTTATTAAAATACATACGTGACGTTACTAAAATATATATACTTCTTTACATACAAATATTTTAATATCATTTAGCGAATTACAAAAACAACAGTTAATCTAAACCTTTGTAACTGGTCACCTTATAAACAAACCGGTGATGGCGGCAACTCGGGCACGAATCGGCCAAAGTCAGCTTGTTTACAGCCTTTTCTTTGTCACAAAAAGCGTAAATTTGAAGAATAGTTTTCCTTTTAGCACTTTTAACTACTATGTCGGCATAATTTAATTAAGTACCTATTTTTAAACTTGAATTTTCTAGATAGAGTTAGAGAGAGATCGAAACTTTTCTATCTTCGATCGAAATTACTTTTCTCTACGTACGCCCAGAAATAAGTTTGGACTTTGAACCTGTAAGTTACAACAAAACTACGAGTATTTTAATTATAAAACTACAAAGAGCTCTTCGAATTTCTCTAAATATTTGTGTACATCACTGTAATGAGTTTTATTTTTTCTTTTCAAAGCCGCAGTGTTCACCTTTAATGCTTATAGAGGTAAGCAAAGTGTAGAGCGGCCCGCCAATAGATGGTGTAATGACATGAAGTAACCTGTGATTGAGGAACGTCTTCCATAGATACGACCTATGCTTAGCAGTGGACCTGTGAGGGGCTGTAACGATGACGATGCTAATAATGATAACGATAAAGATAATAGATAATAGACTCTTACAAAATCTCAAGTTGGGCGCTAATGAACATTCTAACACGAATATTCTCGTTTACATGTTACAAGAACATTAAATTTCGAAATTGTTCTAAATTACTAAGCATCAGCCTTCATGCATGATATCATATGTATTATTTCAGCCTAGATATTTTTTCTATTTTCCTTAAAATGCAACACAAGTAATCATCATTAATAATATTACCATATAGCTCAAACCGACAACCGTTAGGGAAAAAAGGTTCTCGAAGGGCAACCAGTAGGCATACTGTAGCGAACCCCCCATTAGATGGAGTGACGACCTGGTAAGACATGCAGGAAGTCAATGGATGCAGGTGGCTCAGCACCGTGCTTTGTGGTATTCCTTAGGGGAGGCCTATGTTCAGCAGTGGACTTATGAAGGGCTGCAATGATGATGATGATGAATATTTCATTACCCCATTACAAACTAATACATCAAATATGGAATAATAATAATTCCCACAAGATCGAATTTCGGTCACGGCGGCCAGTCTCAGAGTCTTATCATCTGCGTGGGGTATAGTGCCCAGTGTATGCGCAAGCACAAGTGCAATCTCTATTCCCTCATTCACATAGTCCGATGGGATGGAAATCACACACGATTGAGGAGGATCAACGGCTTTACGTTCTTTCCGAGGCTTGGGGTTGAAACACAGCCAACTTCCTGACTCCTGACTGCTAATGAGAATTTTCCAGACCCAGGATTTTAGGACCACATAATCTGCAGTCGCGTTTACGACCACAGACCAACGTGGAGGACATTTTGTATAGCTATATGTTAAATTTGCAGGTGTTAGCCATATTTTACGTCTAGTCCATCTGAGCGAGTACTAGTTTCTTATCCACTTCCGCTGCTTAGCCGTGCATCCCGGTGCTGTGTCACAATGGGGACATCCGTGACTTTTTGTGCCACCAGGGTGGTGCCCCTAAAAATGAAAAAAAAAATGTGTGTATGTTAACAATACATAATGTACACTTAGATTGACTGCCTCGTTGGTCTAGCGGTTGTAGTTCTAAGACTGCTGATCATGAGGTCCTGGGATCGAATCCCGGGTCGCGCCAAAAATCAATTATTGAGTTTTTCTGTCAAGAAATTCTCTGTAGCTGCCCGGAATCAGGAAGTTGGCGGTGTCTCACCCCCGTGCCTCGGAAAGCACGTAAAGCCGTTGGTGCTGCACCTGATCTCTCTCCGGTCGTGTCGGTTTACCGTCCCATCGAATTATGAGAGTGAGGTAATAGAGAGTGCACCTGTGATTGCGCATACACTTGGGCACTATAATCCTGTCCTGCGCCGTTGGCTAGCTTCCGTTGAGGCAGGCCGCCGTAGCCGAAATTCGGTCTGGAGGACATTATTATTACACTTAGATTATTCCGTAGCTTATAACCAGCATATTTGAAATAGCATCGAACGTAAACAGTTGGCGAGACATACAAAACAAAAATTTTAACCATATGCTAGAAGACGATCTGTTACAAGTCAATGATATCTCGTCTCCCTTCGGTTGAAGTTCATCACGCTGTTGGTGAAACAGTCTTGTGTTGCTGTCGTATCTGACCATGCTTACCAAACTTTTGTCCAAGATTGAATCTGATGGCCAAGTTGGCAGATTTTAGGTAAATATTTTAAAAAGTTTACTTTTGATAAAATGGGGCCCTACACTCTATTGTGAAAAGTCAGAATGTGTCAAAAAAGGCACGTGTGGCAATTCACAATGCTGTGTTGGTCCCTACTTAAAGCGTATGGTAGTGAAAGTTGGGTGTGGCAGCAGATGCACGAGAGTAGAATAAACGCAATAGAAATGCGGTCGTTAAGGAGTATGTAAGGGCTGAATCTGAATGACAGGGTGAGTGAGAAATTGTGTGATAAGAGAAGAGTGTGGTTTGCAAGATGTGACCAGGATTAAGAAAGGAATGCTTCGGTGGTTTGGTCATGTAGAAAGAATGAATGAGGAAAGAGTGACGAAGAAAATTTATGTTGCAGAAGTGAACGGCAGAGTCGGAAAGGGACGTCCTAGGCGAAAGTATTATCGACCAAATTGGCGATATGTGTATTGAAAACGGGCCAAATTAGGAGCACCCTTAACCGACGAGCATGTATGCGTGTTAGCAGGATCGTGCCAAATGGAAGTCTATTGTCTCTGCCTACCCCTCTGGGTGACAGGCGTGAGTGTTTATGTTGTGTTTTGATAAAATATAACGAACGGTATAATATTGAAAGTTCTTAAATGCACATATACACACAGACACATGCACACAGACGCACTCACAGTTGCCAAGATCGTAATGTATAAAAAGTACATGACATTGTAGAAGAGTATAGAAGACTTATACCGATTTTATATTTTGGATACCTAATGGTAAGGGGCAATTTTGGCTCTGGTAACTCTAAACAATGATGGTAAAAGCTAAATTGTGTAATTCACTACAATTCAAAAAGAACAATGCTATTTTGCTTATACGATCAAACTTGCCGTCCGAAGGTTGGTTAATTACGGTGTTCATTTTAATGACCTATTAAAGTTAATGTATTGTTGCACGGCTAAGTTGACATCTGGCAATAGCGCCATCTAGTGTCGGGTAACAGAGCGAAGAGAGAGCTTTCCAGAAAATGTAACTTTCTCCAGAAAATGTACAACTAATCTTTCAACCGACAGCGCCATCTAGTATCGAATTGAAGAACTAAGCTTTCTGGAAGCCCCAAACTCGAACTTTCTGCGCTTGGTCGGTTGGCGCGCGTATTTACTCGAATATTCTGGAATATTCTGGATGTTTTCGTGGAAGAGCCCTATATAAAGGCGCTGCAATACGCGATCGGGGAAGTATTGAATTTGGCGAGACAAGCGAAGCTTCGGAGCGGAATAAAGTGAATCAATGTGATTAATTGTTAGTGTTTTAAGTTTTAATTGGTGTAAATAAAATTAAAGTGTTAATTTAGGTAATTCTATCTGCAATTTTTATTGTCACGAACCTCAAGCTCGTAACAGTATTCTTGATTTTTATCGGTGTGTTTTCGTTTATCAATTCTTGGTTCTAAGTTAGCGCAAAATCGATCGTTCTTATGTGCCAATTTCATCGAATCTAGCGGTTTGTGTATCGCCGATAGCATTTGATGGAATTTTTTGATTTGACGGAACTACTAACCGTGACAGATAGAGGAACTGACGGACTGAAAGACACCAAATTAAGTGATTCTACAAATATTACACCACTTTCTATAATATTACGTCAAACCTCCCAACAAATAATGGCAGTAATGGTGACAAGCATTTTGGAATATGGGAACTTTCTCTTTTCTTATATAATTGTTTCGAGTCGTGACTGTTATTTACAGTAAACATATTTGAGAAAGATTAGGTTGCGAATAGAGAAATATCCTTGTAATGTACACTTTCCCCCATTTAAGTGTATACTTTTTAGATAATAAGAATAACCAACGAGCACACAGTCCACCAGATGGTAAGCGGATGCTGTGGCCCATAGACATCTACATTTAATCCTCAATTAAGAATAAAAATGCAAATGCGTTGTGACAGCTGAGTATTAAGATGGAATGCTTCTGTCAAAAGGATGTCCACCATATGAAATAAAGCAGCATTGAGTTGCTATTTTATGCCGGTATTCTGTGAAAGCATGGTCCTTCCCCGGTCGAGCCAACCTTTCTTGCTTCAATCATAATATAGCTGCAGCTTGGTTATGCCACGAAACTGTGGCAGGCATGGGCTATAGACGACATGCGTTGAAATCTTTGTATTTTACTACAACCATTAAAGATTCATCGTTATCGGTTGATTGATATAAAGTCTCATAGAAGACGAAAAAACAAATAAACACACATAATACATATATTTGATTTGAATAAAACAAGTTTTACAGAGTTTAGCTCATTTAATTTTAACTTTAACCTTATTTTATTATTTAACTTTAACTATATTAAAATTTTAACTTGTTTGTCTCCTGTCATAGGGAGACTGGAATTTCACGTTTTTGACGTCGTAATTAAGCCAGCATACCTTCAGTTTTTAATTCATTTTGGTCCGTTACACGCAGAAAGACTATTTCTTAAAATTAAAAGTGTTGTACAACCGACTTCAATATAAACAAAATGAGAACGTCATCAATGTAATCGAAGTAAACTTAATACGCATTATTACGGACAACTCAAAAGCTACAAGTGATATCTTGATCAAATTTATATGGGACCACATGAGAAGCACCAGCTTTCAATTTCAAAATAAAAAAAAAATTGTTAGCCGTCACGGGACGCCTGGCAGATGTGAAACATCGTAATTATTTTGTTCAAGTTATGTGCATAAAAGAACAGTATACGACAGGAATTAGATATGGCATAATGAAGAGATAAAGCATTACAATGTTTTCCATAAAATAATGCCTGTTTTATTACATAATTATTCATTTTCATGAAATACAAATCAGATATACTTTATTGTTAAAAAATATTTGTTTAGATAAAACACAAGTTTTGTGTACCGTAATAAAGAACACTGTATACTAAATAGGTATCCGAGCTCAGTGTGGTGAGAGAAATGTCGCTTACGCATGGCGACGCTTCGCCACGGCAAGCGCCGCCACCCAAACGATCGGTTTTACCCCTCTGCTAAAAACAAACAACAACAGTCGAATTGAGTACCTTCTCCTTTTTGAAGTCGGTTGAAAACCGCAACGAGTGCGCTTAGGCACAACAGGTCACCAAAAATTAATCGATATCAGTTCTGTTAGTCTGACATACCACAGTATAAAGAGAAATATATGTTTTGAAATAATAGATGTTTAAAAGATAACATAGCGTAGC